GTTGGTTAAGAGTGCTTTAACATATTTAGTGTTCATGCGTCACGTGTGATATGCAGGGATGTATATTGCGTGCGATGCACACGCGCGAACATGGTGAATATATGTATTTCGAGAATACTATTTTTGATAAATAGAAACGATACAAAGTTCTCGTTCAAGAAATTATCTCTCGAGATACTTGATCGCAAATTTACTACTGAAACGTCACGTTTCCGTAATAAATTTGCGATTAAATTCTCACAAGTGATAACTTGAATGTAGGAGTATCATTCGGTTTTCTTTACAATATACTTAACGTGTCGAAAACGTCAAGCATTAAAATCCCGTTGATTTAAAGCCGAGCGAAAGATATAATCCCCCACGATGAAAGGAAGGACAAAGGAAATTCTTTTTTCACGCGAATATTATAATTCAACGTTTCGCAATGATTAATCGATCGGCGTTCTTACGTGGAATTACGACGCAGGTCGTATGTGTGTTTCGCGAAATACATAGGTATTTGTCGTATGTCCTCGCTGTGGGCAGCGCGCGGTAAGTAGCCAATTATACTGTGCCACGCGACGCACAGCACGCCTATAGCATATGCACATGCAAATCTTGCAGCGACATCCGTCGCGTCGAAACGCATCGACCGACGTAACGCGACGTGGAAACAGTATGCTTCTAGTCCATTAGGATGAATGAGGGATCGGATATATGCATAGATTGTGCGGCGCGGCGTGGATCGAGCTGATTTATAGCTCCTCAACGGACAAAGACGTCTTACGGCGTAGAAACTTCCCTTTGTATATCTGTTTTCAAAACTTATATATCACGTCGTTTTATTTCTATCACATTTTTGGCCACTGCGTTTTTCTTAAAATACGTTCTTCGCGCGGTTTGTTGCGGTTTCTTTCGCAAAACTCGAACGTTTTTTTGTTCGAGAATTTCGGGATGATCAAACTGTCACGTTAGTATATCTATCTAAATAAGATTACGATGAAAAGAAAGGTACAATCTGTATCTTTTTTTTATTTTAATTTATTTTATTTTAATTCGCGATTTTTATTCGATTCTTGACTTTAAATTTTTTCAGAAAATTCAAAGAGGAGAGATTATATTTTAAAATAAGAATATGATTTCAAAAAAACACACATATATACATATTTTTTTTTTTTTTTTTTTTATTTTTTCAATGGTTTTCAATACATGTACTATGCTCCTTGATGTTTGATGCCTCGCTTTACCTGGACCTAGCTTAACGCAAATAATGCGGCGTCTAATCGATAGCGCCCCGAACTTTGACCCTGGAAACATCTGTCCATATACAGACAGATTCATTCCCCCCTCTCTCTCTCTCTCTTTCTTTCTCTCTCTCTCTCTCTTTCCTTCTCCTTCTTCATTGACTTGTGTCGTGATCGAGACTAGTTTTTCGGCGGCGATTTTTCGCGCGATACACGCGTGCTCTTACATCGCGCAAGTAGCGGTTCGCAGCACCAACCCGCGCGATCAATATCAGCGCAAACGGCGGCAGCCACGACTACGATCAACGAGGGTGACTACGACGATGACGGCGACAAGAGAGAGAGAGAGAGAGAATTCGCAGCACCAACCCGCGCGATCAATATCAGCGCAAACGGCGGCAGCCACGACTACGATCAACGAGGGTGACTACGACGATGACGGCGACAAGAGAGAGAGAGAGAGAGTGAGAGAGAGAGAGAGAGAGAGAAAACCATCACGACCACTAGGACGCGGCATATACGTATACATGTACATATATACGAGATACGGGTGCATACGCTCGACGATGACACGACACTGTGGGTGTAGGTGTGGGTGTGTAGTACATGTGCGTGTGCCGATGATAGTGTCGACGCTGCGCCCGGTGGGAGAGGCCAAGTGGGGGGACGTTGCCAGGCGACGGAAGCTGCCTGCTGCCGCGCGAGTTCATCGTCCTCTGCGCTCGCGCTCGCACTCGCGCTTCTCCCTTGCGCTTTGCACCGATCCAGCTCTTATCCACCTTTCGTCCGTTTCTTTTGGCTTCTCCGCGTCCAGCCGGACCCGCCCTTGCCCCGCGAGTACTCTCGCTCCTACGTTCTTATGAATTGGAATCGAAGTATGCAAAGTATTTCAATAATACGTTCGCGGTTTGATAGCGGCGATATCTCCGATGTATCCGAGGGCGCTGACTTTTTCTTCGATATTGTTCTTATTCGAATGATACGGCGAATTGTATTCTAAAATTCATAGTTTATTATCTGTTGAATTAAAAAATGTAAGAGATTTCAACAAATAATTTGTCCGAATAGTTTTTAAATAGTTTGATCTTTTAATAGAGATATCGAAGATAGGTTACGTAAAATGTTACGAATGTTTCGAAAATTTTGGAAACAATGGAGAGGTGGTACTTTATTATCATATTAATGAAAAATTTAAATAGTTGTAATAAAATATTTGAATAATATCTTGTACACATCTAAAATGTCATAAATCTTGATAAAATCTACGAAGAATTTCTGTAAATAATAAATGAGATATAATAGAAATGTCAATGCATTTTGTTGATATATAGAGTTCTGTCATCTGAATTCTCTCATTCTGTCTTTGTCTCATTTTTTTCAATCGAGTCATGTTTTCCCGACAAATGTGAAAAATTCCGATAAATTAATAGGATATAATACAAATCTCGCTGTATTATTGTCCAAGATATACATATAAACGTTCGATGCACCTGCATTATTATCATTATTATATTTTAGTCGAATATATAAGGAATTTCGATGAATAATAAGCATGACGTAACAGGGAGGTCAATGTGTTGCATCGAGAACAGGCCGCAGGGCGTTCGATGCAAACAACCCCGCCCTGCACAACCACCTCTCGTTATTGACGTTATATTAACATCGAAAATGCAAATAACTCAATTAAACAATAAGGGTAATATTACGTAAAAAAATACAATTACGTATGAATACTGATGATTTTAATAAATGTAAAAAAATTAAATATTTTTTACATTCGCTTGAATTATTCTCGTTTGTAGGTAAAAATATCGAACGCTCGAAATCGATGAGAATTTCGAATATTTCGAGAGAGGATGAAAATAAAATGAAAGGGTAAATGGGTACAAAGGGCGTAGGGCGTAGGATGACTCATTTGGGCAAATACACGTGTGTCAGCATTCTGACTGACCCTTATACAGCCGACACACGCGTATTATATGCACGTTTCTCAACTAGCTCTCATCGATCTTGTCGTCATGACCAACTCGAAGGGGTTAAAACTGGAGCAATGGATCTCTACTGTATATCGTTGCTTTCCTCGTGTCGACAGATCCCCGCGCGATACTGTACTTTAGTACCGTAGTTTTACTCTTGTTCTTAGCTCGACTAGATTTCACGCATTGTGGTCCTCGTTTCGTTTTAGTGTTTACGTCTCGGCTCTATAATTGACTTCGCGGTGCATCCTTCTGTTTGTTCGTTTCGCTCTTCCGAGTTTGCTCGTTCTTCCGTATTTCTCACATCGTGCACATGCACACGAACAGGCATGTTTTAATCCCATTCTCGCAGTCTTACTCGAGCTTAAATGCGATTTACTTTTTTCTTTTATTTCTATTTCGATTTGCCAGCGAGTCGCTTTACAGGACATTATTACATTATTACATTATTACATTATTAGTAGGTCCATATATTCTCTTCACTCGTTTAACTTTGACTGCAAATGCTCCTCTCCATCTTTTACAAGCATGAAATACTTGATCCACATAGTAAATTATGCAAGAGAGAAGGCATACTATTTAAGTGTTACAGAGAAATCCTATTTAAAAGCCTACTTTGCATTTAATTACATTTGTACTGTAATTCTAATGATTAGAACTATACTCTTTTATGTTGATCACACAATTATACTATCATAATTCCGAATTTAGAAAGTATTTAAAAATCGTTTTTTTTTAACTAACGTTTTATCTTTCACTTATTTGAAATATTGTATAATCAGGTTTATATATATATATATATTTGAGTTCTTGGATACGTCATTCTTTTTCAATAATAGCAAATTAACGGAATAAGTACTTATTTTACGAGAAAAATTATTTGGTAATCATATTACAAAACAGTTCATTACTAAAAGAGAGAACATTTTTTGCAAGTTTTTTTACGATTGAGTAAACACTTGACGCGATCTTTTTTTCGATTAATTTTAAGACGAGTTTATTTTAACATTTATTTTATTATATTATATTTCAAAGTTATTCAATATTAGTGTATAATATTAATAATATTATTAAATATTAATGAAACATTTTGTCAAATAAAAATCTCATGAGAAACTATCGTTAAAAACAAAATTGTCTGTACGTTTATTATAAAGAACATTTATCGTTAAAAAATATAGCGATAAATCCGAGACACCCCCGTATATCATCGCGTGGAATAGCTTCGCAGATTAGATGTAATAAGCTGATTCACCTGCGAAAACCACGATATCCCACTTATACGTTTAACGCGGTACGTACATCTCTATAAATAGAGCATGTACTTCGCGAGAGTATAGGTGCCTATGCCCCTGTCCGTCTCACAAAGTTATTTATTACACACGATGACGAAGAATCGTGCAGGAAAGAGAGAAAGAGGAGAAAAAGAGTAGCATTTTTATAATTTATTTTAGTTGATATAAAATATATACAATAATAAAATTATAGAAAAAAATTGAATTAATCTAGTGATTTTATTCTAAATTACTCGAACAAAAAATTTCATTGCGATTTTATTTTAAATTATTCAAATAAAAAATAAAATTTTGCTACGTTACAATGTCAATAGAAACCAATTTGTGAAACTACAAAAGAGAGAAAGACAATACATTAAAATATATATTTCAATTTTATATTTGGGTTATGCAAAGTTGGCGTTTCAATATTCGAGATACATCATAGACAAGCGCCATCGCAATTTAACATTAATTCACGCTTCGATCAACGATAGATACTGACGATTTATTTGGCTTGGTTTCAGAATGTTGATCACAAGATGAAATTCCGCTCTAAGAAGGGCCAATTGCCGTTCGTTGAACTGAACGGCGAGGAGATCGCCGATAGCACTATCATCCTGCGGGAACTGAGCCAGAAATTCGGCAAGGATCTTGACGCCGGTCTCACATCCGAACAGCGAAGCGTTTCCCACGCCATGATATCCATGATCGAGAATCATCTCGTTTGGGTCGTCGCGTGCTGGCGCACGAAGAATTTGGATCAAGTGCTAAAGGGCTACAAGGTCAATCTGCAGCTTGCTCTGGGATCACGTATACCCAACGCGATTCTGAACTTCTTCTTCAAGCTCACGTTTGGACGCAAGGTAAGTTTCGTTTATCGTTTGCCGTATGTGATATCGGTGTGACCTAGCATACAACTTGGACGTTAGATCACTGAATGATAATTCTCACATTTCACGGTCTCTAACTGTTTAACTGCAATAATTCATTCGCATCTCTTTACGTTTTTATAACTTATTTACATATTTTCATAATTATATTCCACATTGTATTTTCATAATTATATATGCATATAATAATGATGTATGCTGTATGCAAAAGAAAAAAAAATCAAAATATTCCTCGACTTGTTCGCATTTTTCAAAACGCACGATTTCATATATCCATATTTGCGATTAGTCATGCATGTGCATTCACAGTTGTATTCGTGTAAATACTAATTGTAGTTTTGCCATTTTTCTGCACATATTTCTATTTCTCTCGATATTAAAAGTGTTAGACTTTAAGTAGCCAACATCATCATCGACAATTAACTTAACTCTTGAGTTTTGGTCGAGGTGATATGTTTTTGCCTAGATATTAATAATATGGAATATAAAGATGACACTGTATGAAATGTTTGTTATGTAAAAAAAAAAATACAAGTTTTGATCAAATATCTATTAAGATCTATGCTACTAGATGCGAAATAATAATAATAATAATATTTGTTTGAATTTTACTTCGACCAAGTTTCGCTGCTTACACGTTATCACAGTGTTACTTCATGCTATCCTTAGAATCATTCATAGTATTCGCTTGGAGTGCAAACCATTGCGCTTGTGGCCATAGATGTCTATGAATGTGGTAGCTGAGGTATATTATCGAGACAGTGAAACGCAAGCGTAGAACAAAGCATCGTGACCATTTGTAGTGAGATGGTAGTTGGATTGGTTGCAGGGTGCGAGAAAAGTGAAGGCTCAAGGAATGGGCGTGCATAGTCCGGAGGAGGTATCTCAGTTTGGTTGCAGCGATCTCAAGGTGCTTTCGGACACGCTTGCCGACAAGCCCTTCTTCTTCGGTGACGAGCCAACTACCGTAAGTATCCGTTAATCCGTAAACACATTGCCTATCGCAAGTAAGAGATGACATCTCTCATTTTGCAACGCGACGATACATTTTGTGTAAAGGCAGTTGGCACGATAGCAGTTACTTGTAAAACGATACCAGAGATGAATATATGTGAACACTTATGCTGCCTGTAAAGTAGAGCTCGGCGTTATAATGAAAAAGCTTTTTTTTTGAGATATTTTTTTAAATATTTTTAAAAAACTTTATTTTCTAGATACCGAAAAATGAAATATCAGACTAACAAGCAAATCACAATGATTTGATTTGGACTATAATAAACTTTCTTTAAATCTTAAAGATTAATATTTTTGTGAATTATATTTCACAAAAAAAGAACAGAACAAAACATCTCATTTTTAATGTTGGGGAAAACGACTTAAATATTTTAAAAGAATTTTGCTCCAAGCGAGAATAATTTCGTATGGTTAACTGTTGAATTGAAGTAGTCGGTTCATAAAAATTTATTATCGTTATCTTTTTTTCATTGTACAAAACTGTGTTTATCGTAAATGCATATTTATTTGCAAAAAATAATTTTTTTCTAAATATAATTTTTTAACAAAAGTGATCTGTGTAAGATCAAGCAGTACGCGTATAAATTGTTTATTTTAAAGCAAAAAATTGATACGATTATCAGCTAGAATTTCGGCAATTTGTATAATCGGACCCATCTCGACGGGTTTTATGATCTATGTCGGATTTGTGCAGATGGACGTAGTAGCGTTCGCGCATCTCGCTCAAATCTTGTACATCGACAAAGACACGCCCTACAGCCTGCGAGATTACATGGTAGAGAACTGTCCCAACTTGGTCGGCCATTGCTCGCGCGTCAAGGAACGATGCTTCCCGGATTGGGACGAAATCTGCTCCAGTCTGGATATGAACACGCATCTGCCGAAGCCTGAAAAGCAAGAAGAAAAGGAGGGCAAAGAAGAGGCGAAGGAGTCCAAAGAGTCTAAGGAGGAAAAAGAGGGCGATAAAGAGAAGGCGGATAAGGAGGAAAAGGAAGTTGAAAAAGACAAGGAGGTTGATGAGAACAAAGAAAAAGAGAAAGACGGCAAATAAGCGATCTTGTTGTAGAGGGAAGTAATAAGTGATTTAAAGGCGAAGAGTCGTAAAGGTGTGCTGGTGAATGAAAAAAGAGAGAGCGAAAGAGAAAGAGAGTGAGAGGAATGGTTGATGATGAACAAGAATGTGCGTATGCGTATGCGTGGTTGCGAGAACGTTGACGATGTTGGAGACGAGAATGGTATAGAAAGCATGAGGAGAGAAGGGAGATAGCGGAAGTGAGAGATTGTATGTATGAGTGTATGTGTGTATGAGAAAGAGAGAGAAAAAGGAGTGAGATAGAGAATGGAAGAAAGAGCAAAAGAGAATGTGTGCGTATATGTGAGAAAGAGAGGAAGAAAGCAAGAAAGAGAGAGAGAAATAAAGTTCTGGACTAGAGCTCTCTACTTATACGTATAGATATTAATAGACTCATAATGTTAATACTTCGTTTATATACGTTCAATACGCGTCACGCGTTATTTCACATTGACACACTCGAAACACACACGACTGGAACGACTATTCTCTTTAACCCACGCCCTTTCTCTGCTCTGCTAAGAACAAACGAAAACGGGGCTATCTCATAAGTCATTAGAAACGTAGGATTGCAATATACGAACTGCAATAGTCTGACGCAGCTGGGGTCTTTATCGACAGTGGCCAAATGCAATATAGCGTATGCTATAAGATAAAGTAGTTGTGGAAGAAGAAGAAGTGAGAGTAGGATCACACCGATTCTCGTCTCTCGAAGGCGAAGAGCGTTCTACTTCGCTTCTCTCGATGATCCTTGCTGTGCATAGTTACCTTGCGTTTTGTGCGCAACGTAACGCAATTTTTTTTTCTTTTAGTCCGTATGTTTTTTATGTTTATATACGTATATCGCGCATTTTACTTTCGCTCACCACGTTACATGAAGTTTTTAAAAGCTTTTGTTTTTAAAAGATCTTGTTTTTAAAAGATTTTTAATGATGTATCAATGAAAAATTGTCTATTGTCTTATTTTTCCGTTGAAATCATCTGAGGAAATACCGTTGCATCTCGTAGTCGATTCGTCAGCGATGCGATACTTGCATTATTAATTACGATATAATATTAATAATAATGCGTTAATATTAAAATAACGATAATATTAATATTAATAAGAATGACAACAATAATAATATTAATAATGATAGTAAGAAAGCAGAATACGATGTCTATACGCGGAAACAAGTGTCAGGTTATCGATTGTGACTTGAATTGTTTCTCTCGTGTTCTTTTAAACAATTGAATCGGAAGTCGAGTCACGCCAATTGACCAGTTAGCAACGGATGTCCTCAGACAGCCTAATGTAGAATGCAAATGGAGTTGACAAGTCGTCGTACGTAGTTCTCGATATCCACTCTTCCGTACGGCCGCAATTCCGTTTGCATTTCAGCATCATCAAGCGCGCGTGATCAAATTTTACTTCAACGACGATACTTATTCCTATATTTTGTACGAGAATAATGGAATTCTTTTTGCAATCTTTTTGCGATGATATTTTAGACATGGAATACATAATAGAATCGCGATAAGCGCGACGAACGACACACATATTATTATTACTATATTATTTGTATATTATATAAATATATCTATTACATAGACGCGCGCGAATGCAGTCGGACTTAGATCGGACGGGAGGAAGATGCCATTCGTATAGCGGAGTCGTAATATTTCGTCCCCTCCTTCCCCCCTTCGTCCACCATCCCCTGTGTTCCCTATATATTCTTGTTTTTTTTTTTTTTCTTCTTTCTCTCTTGTAGCGAAGAGGCACAGGTAATGTTTTGATCTCTTTTCCTTTGGTACTCAAAACACTGTGCTGCCCACGTATTTTATTGATACGATTTTTCGAACGTGTTAAGAAATGATAATGAAATTTCCTTGCGTAATACAAAGTGTCTTTCACGCATCGAAAATCGACATTTGATGTATAATGGGAATTGAAGTTTTTCTACGAACAAAATGTGTAGCAGCTGCAGTAGTTTTTCTACGGCAGCTGAACATATTCCACGAAGACACGAAGATATATTACAATTTAAGTAACTTACTATATTATATTAATAACGATTATGATCAAGCATACACACACACACACACACATATACACATATATACACACGCGTAAAGGAAAAAATGGAAAAAAGATTAGTGGATGATGCTGTTTATACCTATAGAACGACGCATATGTTTTCACCTGTGGTTACATATTATTATGGATTATTACGTACGTATAAATAATATAAATTAGAGAATGAAAGAAACATTTGGACAAGACCATAACGTTGCAAGCACAGTAGATATATAGGCCCACCCAATACAGTAAGATTATTATAAGAGGAATATTAATAATTATAATATGACTGCTCGTTTTATGCTCGGCGCTATACATTTCATTGTCATTATTATATCACCATTTATTAACGATATACATACGAACAAATAAAATGTGTTTATAAATATAAAGTGAAATTTACGAAATTTGCCAATGTTTATTGCGCGATCCATTGTCCAATCTCTCTTTACTTAAACGACATTATATATATTGATATAATTTGTGTTTCATGTCACCATATTGTACAATACATAATGTTGAAAGGAAGGTCTACATACAGTCAATAAGTATAAATCAGGAGAATTAATCATTATCTATTATTAGATACACTATTTATTATCTAAACTTTGAAGATTCTTACATAACAGTGAAGTAGAGAGAAATAACATTTGAATCATTTATTCGTAAGGGATCCGCGTTCCATTCGCATCAATTTTCACTATTTCTATATATGTTTTATAGATTCGTTTATAATTTTTTTTTTTCAGATATCTCATATTTTAAGGACGTTCTATTTCGTACAGAGATATGTTTAATATTGCTACAATTCAATAATTCAATTGAAAGCCACAGGACAAGAATCATACATGTAAATGTATCACATTTGTATTGCGTCTAAAATTTCTCTTCGCAAGCATCCTATATAATGAATTAAAAAATGGAATGGATAGCGATCATGACGAGATAACTGATAATTTTATTACATTTCACTATTGATGTGTCTTTGGCGATAAATATTGCTTATTTCTCGTAACTAGTTGCAAGAATTAAGATATACTATACATATAATTCTTTTTCTCATTTCATTCTCTGTTTCTGCCAATTATTTTGTCTTTAACAAATGCATACAATATCAAATCTTTTTCGATCGCATACAGATTGATTTCAGAAATTACTATTAGTTTTAAAAACGTACTATGTCGTTTTATCCAATACATGTCATGTACATTCGAATCTCTTCAAATTTTGTTTCTATAATATTTGACACATATTTTTTATTAACGACAAACATGGATAACGACAGCCTAATTTACTTTGGCAAGAACTACACTTTTAGAACAATATAATATTATTCATTTATACAATTCAAGATACACTTTTTATACGGCTTTTCTCTTAAAATCTAAATATTACTTTGAATGTATAAATTATCATATATTGATCTCTAAGTCAATTCTATATTTAAATCAAGAAATTAAATTAAATACGTGCAATGAAACGAAATCGCTATCAAACTGCTAATGAAATCACTATTGATGACTTGTCGTATAGGAACGATGCTTGCAAATTGGTCAACAAACTATTTTTTTTTTTTATATTGATATCCATATAACATCGCTACAAAAATAATTATTTCTTTTTCTCGCATTCACTGTTCGATCCTATACAAAAAGTCGCCGGTACCGTTTACGCTTCTCGCCAAAAAGGACTTTTCGTTACAAAAATAATAATACTTTGTCTTAAGCCTTTCCATCTTGTAGAGTGACCTATCCGAAACAGTGCCCGCATATCAAATTTGTTGTGCTTGATCAAGCAGATTTGCGTACGAAATACGTCTTTTATGAAATACCAATATCGATTCAAGAGGACATTGGAAATTATATGATTTGGTCGTCGAGATAGTATTTCCCGGACAGACGGGGGCCACTGAGAGGTGAAGTAACACTTAGAAGGCTGTGCTGGTCGTAGCTGTCGTAGCCGTCAATTGCACGCCGGACTCGGAAGTTGAACGTCCGGCGTGTGGCTATAGCTACGTGGACGCGGCAAGGCTGATGGACGTTGATTCGGTGACGGCCGATCGTGGTCTCACATCCAAGGAGTCGTACAGGGGAAATTCACAACACAAGATGAACTTGAGGAAACGTGGCACTTCGACGTAGATAGCCGGTGGTATCGGTATCAGCGGTGACGTGGACTGCTTGTAGTAGCGATATTCCGCATTACTGTAGAAATGTTTATAGAGCACACGTTATAACGGTAATATGATTGTAAATAATAAAACAAAATTTTTTTATAGATGTGCAATGCTTCACATATAAGATAGATAAATCTGTTTTTAATCGGAATTTATTCCTTTTTAGTTCCAGAGAACTCATTGCTTTTTTAATTATACTTTTTATGATGTCTTTTTTTAATTTTTAAATTATAATATAAGATCATACATATATATATAAAATTTAATACGTATATATATATATGTTAAAATTTTCATTTTTATGTTAAAGTTTCTCAATAAGTTGATACAAACAATGCAATTTATTTGATTATTATATTTATTAATTTATTATACTTAAAACTGTCAAAAATTATTTGTTTAGGACCGTAAAAATTTTCAATGCTCTGATACTCACTCCCGGTAACGCTCATCTGACGCTCTTTCCAATAATGGCATCCCCGATAGGAACAAAATAATAAACGTTGTGAAGATCGGGGAAGCGATAGCTACCCACTCCACTCCTTCAATAACGTTTAAGGATATTATGAAGATCCCCCACCAGACAACGATTTCGCCGAAATAATTTGGATGCCGTGAGAGCCTCCAAAGTCCTAGAAACGTTAACTTACATATTAATTGAAGTAGTTATATAATAAGTAGAGTGCAGAAATTCTCTCAAAGTTTCACGGATGGAGATGGATATGCATTAAAGCGCATATAGCCCACGTATAATTGTTTTATCTAAACTAAATCTTCTACTCTACTAATATGTAAATAATGCATCTCAAATTATCCGAGAAATAGGATGGTTCACCGTGAAACTTTCGCACCCTAAAAATAATTAAGATTAAATGCAAATATAAAGAAATTTTTTAATAATGAACACTTTTCAATATAATATTTTATTTCTTTTTCAAATTCTCAATTAATTTCGTATATATATTTCTTTTTTATTATTCTCTTATTTCTGATCCAATTTTGTCAATGCTATGTAAAATTATATAATTAGAAACTAGTCCCCCTCACCATCGTTACACCATTTGCCATTATTGACTGGATCCTGTTTGAAGGCAAATTTTTGCAGGTCGGCGTAGGTTTCGGCCAGTAAACCAATAAAAAAGAGACCCGTACCGGCACTGTCAAGTGTGGTCATTGTCTTCGGAGCGGGCGGTATTTTGTGACGTGGAGAATTGATTATTATCACAGGCAGACTGACAACGTACACCCACACCGCCTGCGAACACCATCGATGCCTTGTAATATCGTCTTTGTAGGAAAATAAAGCGCTCGCAAAGGATTTTGCAGAAGTGATTGAATATTACGTGGATTATTTCACCTGAAATGTCCAGAATACGGCGAAACGAATCACGTTGCTACGACGGTCATCGAATCTTTTGTCACGACCAATCTTGATTATTCTATATAAGAGGTATCCGGAAAGCCGTACACCCCACAGGCACACAAACACAGTTACCATAACTTGTCGGTTGTCGTATGTCTACATGGGAGAAAAATACGAGGTATTATTACATTAATGAATTTTCGTACACTTAACAACCAGATGTGTAAAATAGAACGCGAACATCGTATAAAAAATGTATAGATAGTATAGATCATCCGTCGATAGACATTAAATATATCTTGCCATTTTATTTATAACATCGGGTTTTCATTGAGGATAAAATCCTTTATGATAATATGCCTGCAATATAACATACTTCTCGTAAATGTATTTCATGATGTATTCATCAGACTTTGAAACATGCACACATAAAAATCAATCTACATAGTGTGATTTATGAATGATGTAGATCCGACTCGTAAATATATATTTTTTGTAATTATAACTATTGTTAAATATTTATGATTAGTTTATGTCGCGATAAAAGAATGAAATAATGTTAATATAAATCTTTTAACTTATAATCGAACAGTAATTAATGCAATAGCATGTGATAACATTTTCGTCTAATTTGTAATATATGCCCATTTATTTTTGTCGTAGTCTATTGAATTTTTTCGGACATATCTTGATAGATATTTTTCTCTGTGCTAAAGAATTAATTCAAAACAGAGAATATCCGGTTAGTTTAGCACAGAGGCCACCTGGAACCTGGAACGCGTCAACTATATATTACTCCGGAAAACTCGTTCATTATGATCGCCGTCGTATAACTTGTCAGTTTCTTCGCGCTTCCGTAAATATCCCGTGTATTTTAATACCCGTTTGATACCCGACCCGGATTTTATCTATCGTACATGCGGGATCGCATATGCGTCGCACGTGCACGAGGGAACAGTGATAGGTGCCAGTTCTAGTGTTGGAGAGGATACCTTGCCCACTTGACCGAGAAAGAAAGTGAGGAGGGCGAGGATGATAAAGTTGGTGCCGCCGGCAAAGTCTGTCAGTTTATCCAACTGGAAGGTGGCCGCTATCGTGAAGAAAATGAGCTGCATACCGACGGTCACGATCGCGCTCACGGCGAGATGATCCTTGTCCAAAATGTCGACCGCCATATCGTGTCCTCGACAACGTGTCAAATCACCGCTGGACAAATTATCTTTGATCCTGAAATGTGCACATTTATTATCTGCACTGATATCAATTAACTATTTCTCGTCTCTTTATTCGTATTTTGATCTTTATTTTAATTATTTCTTTAATTTAACAATTTTTAATTTAAGATTTATTAAACTATATAATTTTGTATTTTAACTATATATATATATATATATATATATATATATATATATGTGTGTATATCGATGAAAAGAAAATGCTAAAATATAGACTAAATAAAATTTTAAATTGCAATTTTTATAAAAAAGTATGCTTCGCGATTATTAAAATAAAATGAAATTTTCAAATACGCATAAGAGTCGACAAGCAATTACACCTAACTACGTTAATTGGATCTTCCTCTTTTCCATCTGTATTACAAGCAGGTTTATAATTTAGAAAAGGATAGTGGATTACTAATCTGGGTTTAATCCGGATTATCGGTACGGATACATGTATCAGATACTTTACGATTGCATTTCAATGAATCTTGTGTCTAACAAAATCCGTATTATGTTGTTATACTTGTGTGCATACATGCACACAAAAAAGATATTAATTTTTAATTTCCTTGTGTATAATGTTGATATTTTTTATTTCAGAAATTTGAGAAGGAAAGAAAAAGCTCTCTGTTTCTATTTTTCATCTCAAGTATCTCTATTTTTTCATGTATAAATCATGCATCTCTTTTTTAACATAATTTGTTAAAATTTGATTTTTTTTTCTTTATAAACTATATGCAAAGAAATTGGCATTGAAAAAATAAACGTTCATATAGCATTGGACTTTCTTTTCTGGCAAATTAACAAAAGTTACGTGCTCCAGATAAACAAAACGTTCGTATATCGAACGTGTAGTTATATTATGCTTTCCGCAATGCGGAAAACGTTAGCGGATTGCATTAAAGATGTATCCGTAGAGAGATAATACCAGGATATTTTTGAAAAATTTACTAAAAACTTTATGACACTCTTTATACACATTCTTGGCAGCAATATTTTGAATAATATGAGAATATTTCGGAGTCTATAAATTTAAAATTACCTTGAAAGCTGTTCTCTTACGAAACGATTTTAGGATATATCTGTGTCCAAGAGCACAGAGATCTCCGCGCATAATATTATTATGCGCAATGCTTAAAAAAATCAAAAGAAACTCTCTTTAAGAGAACATTCTCAACAATTGCACAATTGGTAGCGTTATCAATATTGCATCAATATTGCAATAACACGTCTTTCTAATTTCTTAAAACGACGAGTGACTCCGTACGACTCGAAACTACTCGCCGAGCGAGCGATTTAAAAACAAGGACACGGAGAGTTACCTCTCTCGAGGAGAGCCGCATCTCGCGACGTTTTTCCAGCGGTCCGCGCGTGTTATCGCCCCGACGCTTCGCTCCGCTCGGGCGGCAGGCGACCAACAGGAAGTCTAATGTCGCCGCGCGTCTAAAACGAGGCGCGCACTCCCGCACGGCAATATCACGTGTGAGTCCGCGGCTCGACGATGCTCGAACCCCCCCCCCGATGCGCGAACACATCGGGACGCGTCTCCGCCCCTTCGTCGTGGACGGAGATCGCGACGGGATCGCCCCCGCGGTACCTTTGCGCCGCTCCCTTCCTCTCGTTCTCGTGGTACGCGCTCTTCCAGCGCGCACGCTTCCTCTGCGGAACTTACAGGTCGGAGGATATCTCTGACAATTTTGGGATACCTGCACTAGACGCGAGTTAAATAGACTGTTGTCTTAGATAGAATCGTGTCTTTTAATTAATTAAAGTTATTTGAATATGATCAATTTTTTATATGTATCATATAATATGTCCTAAATGTTTCTAAACATTTTACATATGTTTTTCTAGATATCAGCTTTTCTTCTTTCATATAATCTTGCGATTAATGATTTATTTACTTAAATTTCAGATTGATGGCTTTTTAGCGGAGAGACTTGTATACTGCTAGATATATGTTCTTTTATATGTCTTATATCTTTTATATGCCATTAAGAAGAAGTTTAGCTTAGGGTGCCTAAACACCTTGAAACGGCTCTGTCATTAGCCCCGTTCTTTCTCGCACCCCTGCCACCAACCCTGCTCTCATAATATGTTTCTCTGCGTCCTTCACCTCATTTTCTTTTTTGATTTCCACTATATCTGTGTTTCTCTCTCCTTTCGTTCTCCATATGTTCTACAATTATCCCATGTACTAATCACGTATCTTTATCATCTTCTATATCTTTTTTTCTTGCTCATCTCTCTAACAATAAGACTATTCAGGCAGATTTGTAATGCATGCGCACAAAAAATCAGATTTGATATGAACGCAATGATATGGCTTTCTTTATATTAGATACTTGATTGATCAATTTCTCTCTGCGTAAATGCATCATGCTGATTATGCAAAAAAAATCCGTCTAAATAGATCTTATCTCTTTAATCGCAAGGCAGAGAATGTTTTTTTTTTCTTTCTATTATTTTTCAGTTTCTTTCTTATTTTCAGTCGCTATATATTTTTAGCCCCTCCTTCCTCATATCCTAATTCTTATTTATATTCATTTATGTTCGTTTGCAATTTCTCAATCTCGATATCGCTTGTTTGTCCAATTCAGTGACACATGTTTTTCTTATGAACGATCTTATATTTTTTATTGCGATTATCTCAGTACCCTCTATCTCTTTCATTTCGGGAGTGTCGCAATGGAATTTGGTCTATCAAGCTAAAAATCAATATTAGATGCGCCGGCGCCTCGCTGAAAATGCCTGGCAAAGGATATAGTGCGGAAACTTTTAGTATTAATGATGGACGCAAGAGCATCGATTTATATATTCGTGGTTTAAACTTGCACAGAGGAATTAGGAGTTTCGGATATAAATGTCTTTTCATGAATATGTAATTCGAATACTGATAAGAAAACCTACATCGAATTACCGCATATTTATAATATATGTTTTATCCCCTTTATAGACATCTATTTAAATGATTTTCTTTCGAAAACTCAATTTGAATGAACTTAATTTAATTTGTTCAAAATCAATTTTCGCGACATTGTTTCTTTCTTAAAAAACGTAATAAACTTTACAAAATTTCTCAGTTGGTACTGAATAGTATTTTCGCGGAGAAAGACAATCGTTTTTAAGAAAATAATATTAAAAAGCAACCATTATTTTCAAATTGGATAATATGTCCTAAATGTTTCTAAACATTTTACATATGTTTTTCTAGATATCAGCTTTTCTTCTTTCATATAATCTTGCGATTAATGATTTATTTACTTAAATTTCAGATTGATGGCTTTTTAGCGGAGAGACTTGTATACTGCTAGATATATGTTCTTTTATATGTCTTATATCTTTTATATGCCATTAAGAAGAAGTTTAGCTTAGGGTGCCTAAACACCTTGAAACGGCTCTGTCATTAGCCCCGTTCTTTCTCGCACCCCTGCCACCAACCCTGCTCTCATAATATGTTTCTCTGCGTCCTTCACCTCATTTTCTTTTTTGATTTCCACTATATCTGTGTTTCTCTCTCCTTTCGTTCTCCATATGTTCTACAATTATCCCATGTACTAATCACGTATCTTTATCATCTTCTATATCTTTTTTTCTTGCTCATCTCTCTAACAATAAGACTATTCAGGCAGATTTGTAATGCATGCGCACAAAAAATCAGATTTGATATGAACGCAATGATATGGCTTTCTTTATATTAGATACTTGATTGATCAATTTCTCTCTGCGTAAATGCATCATGCTGATTATGCAAAAAAAATCCGTCTAAATAGATCTTATCTCTTTAATCGCAAGGCAGAGAATGTTTTTTTTTTCTTTCTATTATTTTTCAGTTTCTTTCTTATTTTCAGTCGCTATATATTTTTAGCCCCTCCTTCCTCATATCCTAATTCTTATTTATATTCATTTATGTTCGTTTGCAATTTCTCAATCTCGATATCGCTTGTTTGTCCAATTCAGTGACACATGTTTTTCTTATGAACGATCTTATATTTTTTATTGCGATTATCTCAGTACCCTCTATCTCTTTCATTTCGGGAGTGTCGCAATGGAATTTGGTCTATCAAGCTAAAAATCAATATTAGATGCGCCGGCGCCTCGCTGAAAATGCCTGGCAAAGGATATAGTGCGGAAACTTTTAGTATTAATGATGGACGCAAGAGCATCGATTTATATATTCGTGGTTTAAACTTGCACAGAGGAATTAGGAGTTTCGGATATAAATGTCTTTTCATGAATATGTAATTCGAATACTGATAAGAAAACCTACATCGAATTACCGCATATTTATAATATATGTTTTATCCCCTTTATAGACATCTATTTAAATGATTTTCTTTCGAAAACTCAATTTGAATGAACTTAATTTAATTTGTTCAAAATCAATTTTCGCGACATTGTTTCTTTCTTAAAAAACGTAATAAACTTTACAAAATTTCTCAGTTGGTACTGAATAGTATTTTCGCGGAGAAAGACAATCGTTTTTAAGAAAATAATGTTAAAAAGCAAACATTATTTTCAAATTGGAAAAAAATAATTTTCAATATTATTTTTAAAAAATATTAAGAAAGTATTAAGAAACATTTGCTATCTCCAATGCAAAAACTAAATGTTCCTGGATAACACAAGTAGTCGAATGACTGTATTAGCTTAATGACAAATTGAAGCAATTAAAAGAGCAAAATTTTATTAACAATTGTCTTTATCGCACGGATAAAATTCAAATTTTACGAATTTTATACTTTGAGTTTCTTCCATCAATTTTAACTCGACCCTTAGAATTTTTCAGGAATACGCTGTGAAGATTAATTATCGAAATCAAATATTAAAAGAAATGACTATTTGATCGAAAGATTTAATGCAGTAAAGATTTATATGACGAAAATTATAAAAATAACATTTCAGATTGACTTATGATATCGCTAGATTAGGGCAAAAATAAACTATATTTCAATATTATATATTATTATACCCTTAATATTACAAATGCAAATTAAATACTTTCACACTTTTTGCACAATACATATAATTCATGGATTTATGTAAAAAAACTTCCACTCTCTTAATGTATTATTCCATAGTTTGAGTACATTTCAACCGTGTAACAATAATGATATATAGCGCGCATTACAATGAATTTTATGATAATTTTTTCAATGATGTATTATAATATATGTATGTATATATTCACCTTTTCTCGATAACATATAAAAATCTACATCTTATCTGTTCAAGATGGTAATTTATTTTGCATTATCCATTGCTTCTTAACTCTTTCAATCCAATCTTACTAGATTACGCTTAACTCTAGTTTCGAGTATATTTGCCCCAAATATGAAGCATGAATACAGATGCAATGAACAAAAGTGACATTACAAGTACTGGTACAGGACCTCTGCAACACAGAAAAATTGTAACATTGAATAAAACACCATCAAACACGCAGAAATTGTATGAAATTGTATGGGAATTGTATGGGCAAAAATATCTTGTATAAATATATAAAATACCACATCTTTTTATTATATTCTGTTGTAATATATATTTAAAATACATTATAACGAGTTAAATGTACATTATAAGTTCTTTGGTATTCAATGCACATATGGAACACACAACAATCTACGAAACTTTCAGAAAACTTCTACTTACACTTTGATACCTGGTGAATCATCTGTATAGAACCTCCACATGCCACCGGAACTTGTACCTGTATTTCTATTCCTAGCTGAGGAGGTCACAGTGGTTTTCCTTTGCCTAACAGTACCGCTACCACCTGTTCTTGGTGCGATGGCTTTACTCGGCGATCGTCCAACCGAGCCAACGGAAGTAGCACTAGGTGCAGCAGGCTTTTAAGAAAAAAAAAAGAAAGAGACAAACAGTTATATTCTTTTCTTTAGAAATATTGTACTCTTTCATTTGAAACATTATGCTCACCATTGTGATTGCTCTTGTCGCAAATAGTCCAAGAAATTGTGGAAGAGATCCCTTTTCGTTTCAACGAAAAACGTTATATAGATTCCGTTCACGCGGGCTTTTGATGCAAAATACACCAAATATCTCGGTAGTACTTATTCTGATCTTCAGACACTCGTTATAAACACGCAAATGAAACGTTCGACGGACAAATCGTCACTCAGCTTGTGGCGTGTGACAAATAGCAGACGATTCCAACACAAGCTGATGATGAGACGCGGAGAGTAGGAGGCAACGTGTCATATGTGCCTTATCCACGTGGTATGCAAAGAACACGTCACCATACGCTACGGTTACGCATTCACGCCAAGTGTATTCCACATATATCCCTATCTTTTAAGCTCAAACTATGATCCGATTGGGCGTTCTGTTAAATTGGACAAAATGTCGTCATCTTTCATTCTCCAACATGAATTATTTGATATGTAAGCACGAGATATTTGACGAAACGAAAATAAAAAATTATTTGCAATATATATTATTTTCTAATAATAATTAACAAAGGTCGTGTTCCAAAATTGTCAGTACTGGAAATCTATAATATACGTTACGTGAACTATAGATTTTCAGTACTGGCAGTGAATTTTGGAACATAGCCAAAGATACACGCACGCGCATAAACAATCGAGATGGCAATCTTTCCAGATGGAGCAGTGGAGAAAACGACTTTTTAGGTTTCAGGTTGGATTTATTTCATGTAGTGTAGTGTGGGTTATTGGATCTGACGTATGAACAAGAATTCATTACAAGGATGCAATCCGACGATAAGCTGCCCGAAGATGAGGAAGAAATGCTTGTTTACGTAGAATTCGAGGGGCTTGTCGGTAGTAATGTGTTTAATAATGAAGAACTACAATTAGATATGATTGGAATAGACACGGAGCATCCTATAATGCAAATTGATGGACGGGTATGTTTTTATGACCTCTATAGTACTTAACACACGTGAAATACTATAGAGGTCATGCACAAGGTATAAATTATATATTTAAATTTCCAAATTTATTTCTCTGACTGTTTTTATATTTTTGTTTTAGTTTTACGAGGGATCTTATGAAGACACCGTGGGTACCTATATGTTCTTTGAGAAGGATGACAATCCACACGTGGATGATGTTGTATTCGATAAAGTGCCGACTCTAAAATATTTTGCTAAAACCAGAAAGGTACTGAAGATGCAGAGAGTTTTTACGAAACCAAGAGCCGAGATTTTTGGTGATCCTGAACACGATAGTTGTATTCCGAATACCGATACTTTATCACAAGCTGGAGTGCCTCCAAAATATCAAGAAGAAGGTATGAAATGTTTATTTATATAAGTCTTAAACATTTTTTTAAATTTGAAATTTGACTTTGAATTTTAACTTGGAATTAACTTTCAGCTCTCCAATATTGGAATAAGATACGTGACGATAAACTGGAAGAATTAAGTACATGTTTGGAGAAACAAAAAATTAGAGAAGAAAAAGAAATCCAAAGGTATTTTGTTAGATTTAGAATCTGATAAGGATAACTTTATATCATATAAAATCAAAGAAAAATCAGAAAAAAACGTGATTATATGTGAAAACCCATTTATTTGAAAAAGTAAACATTTTCGTTAACCACTAATATATTAAAAGCTTTTAATTTTGACAAATCTATAAATCTATCTTAAGTGGAAGTAATTAGCAGGAACATATGAAATATTTAAAATTTTTTTCTAATTAAATATTTTAATTTTTAGGCATATTAGTGTTCTTATGCCATAAATATTATGCATATCCAGAAAATGAAGCTGATACAACTCAAAAACAATATTAATGCTTTAAACACTGAGATAAGAAAAGTCACGTTAGTTATATACAAATGATTTTTTTACAAATAATTATAATTGCATGTAATCATAAATAATGAAATTCAAGAGCAAATAATTAATAGACAAATTTTACATACTACTGCACACATCACATTATCATTGTCTCATGAGAATGTTCTCTGGTAGGAAAAATTGCTCAATTTCTATTTGATGAAGATATAATATATTTTTATATGTAATGGTATATATAATTTGTATTACATAGATAATATTCAGTTGTCATGTATAATACCAAGTTCCATATTCACTAATACTAATATTGATCAACTATTAATATTATACAGCTACATTCAAAATGTTGTGGAAATATATATTTATATACGTTTGTGTTTGAATTATCTGTATCAAATGTCAGAGATGAGTAAATTTATTTTTACGAAATATATAATGACTTCATATATATATATAGCTATATAATTTTTATTGTAGCTATTTTACAAATGTAGATCTGTTATTGAATCCACGCAAATTTTCCAATCGAATTTAACATTTTATAAAATAATATCTATATGAAGTAATATTTAGGTACGTACCTCATACATCTATAATAACATGATACTTTATCAATTGATATGACTTCATGAAATATATATAGATTCATTATTCATGTATTAAAATGCACAACGATATAAATTATATTTCCAATTATAATAAAATAAAATATTCGATATTAATATATAAGTAATATTAGTTTCATATCATTCTGTCATTTTATATATTGTCAATTTTCGCCTTTCTTATTTTTATTTTACTAATATTCTATAAACAGCTCAAAATAGACTTGATTATAGATACACTATTAATTTCTATATTGCATGCAAAGCAGATATTAATTATTACTTAATTGATTTGAATCTGCTTAAACTGAATAGATTCAGGAAGAGAATTGATTATCGCTTTCTAATTTTTTTCCTTTCTATTTTTCTATCCAAAATGCTTATTTTATTTTTAATATAAAGTATAGCATACTGCAATAAAAAAGAACAAATCTCAGATATTATTGTCATGTGTATACACTACACTTAAGAAATTATTTTTTCTTCATACGCTCATCTTTTAATTATACATATATATTTATATATTGTGCATGATATAATGTATAATTGTGAAATACTGAATTGAACCCAAATATGTAATTTATTTTTACGAAATATATAATGACTTCATATATATATATAGCTATATAATTTTTATTGTAACTATTTTACAAATGTAGATTTGTTATTGAATCCACGCAAATTTTCCGATCGAATCAAGTCAAATTTAACATTTTATAAAATAGTATTTATATGAAGTAATATTTAGATATGCACCTCATACATCTATAATAACATGGTACTTATCAATTTATATGACTTCATGAAATATATATTCGTTATTCATGTATTAAAAAAACTAGAGTTTTATTTGCTTCTAGAATAAAATCGTGACATCTTCACCAATCAAGGTCACCAGGAAGTTCGTCCGGATACTCCCCTGTTAAACAAGCAGTACAATGTCCAATATAATTGCTTTCACGATTGTCCATACGATATCTGACTGCTTCGACAAGCCCCTCGACCGAAAGGTACGATAAACTATCTGCTCCTACATGCTTGGCTAATTTTACATTATCAAGCTTATTTGCGATAAGTTCTTCCCTCGTTGGAATGTTGATGCCCATATAACATGGATATTTCAGTGGTGGTGATGCTATTCTAATATGAACCTGTAGGTGATCATATAAATGACAAATAAATATAACAAATGTAAGTTTATTAGGATAAAGAATACGCGACAATGAGATGAAGACGAATATAAGAAATTCCTTACTTCTTTGGCGCCCGCGTCACGTAGTAGTTTGATAATCGGACCGATTGTATTTCCTCTGACAATTGAATCATCAATAAGGATTATTTTCCTTCCCTTTACATTCTCCGACAAAGCTCCGAACTTCTTAGCTACTCCGAGCTGCCTCAGTCGCGTACTCGGCTGAATGAACGTTCTACCCACGTATCTATTTTTGCATAACACTTCGGTGAAAGGTATTTTGGACTGTAATGTAAAACAAATTTTATTCAAATTAAATACCACTTGAGTCAAACATTGTGCCCTTATATACACATATTATTCATTCCTATTTTTATACATACATACATATACATACATTATGTATAAATAATATCATATTGTATTATTAATTTTATAAATAACCTGTCTTGCATATCCATGTGCTGCTGCGGTTCCAGATTCGGGTACTGAGCTTACTATATCTGCTTCAACCGGCGATTCCATCGCTAATACTCGTCCGCATTGCATACGAACGGAGTATACCATCTGTCCTAATATAATACATATATATATATATATACATATATGAATGTTCTTAAACATATCTTCTCATAAATTTTTAATGCATTATATCATACTTATTTACCTTCAAAAATGCTGTCGCTTCTGGCGAAGTAGACATATTCGAAAATGCAAAATGCCTGTGATTTTTTATTTGGTCTTTCTACTATATCAATAGTCTTAATACCTTCTCGAGTCAGTTCGACAATTTCACCAGGGAACACTTCGCGGACATATCTCGCGCCGATGCTCAAGAATCCGCAAGATTCTGATGAAATTACCCAACCTTCTGCTTCATCATCATCATTGTCAGATTCATTACTCGCTGCGAGATTTAAATTTGCCCATTTTATTATTTTGCATTAATATAAAAGTAAAATATTAATAAATAAAAAGTAAAGTATAGGATTAAGTATTTTAATATGCACCTAGATTGCCAATTGGTACTATTTTTCCTAAGCAAAGAGGACGATTTCCATAAGGGTCTCGGACACCATAAATTTTGTCCCTTTGCATTATGACCAAAGAATACGATAATGGTGCTAATTGAATAAGATGTTTAATACGGGCTGGCCAATCTGGTCCATTGACTTCGCCTTCCGGTGGATTCAAACAGAGCGCTTGCGTTATAAGTTCCGAATCCGAGTGTGTTGATAAACCAACACCTCGACCTAATACCTAGACACAAGATTTAAATAATATTCAGTTTAAATTTTTCTAGTAATGTATTAATAAGCAATTTAAACATTTAATATGATAAAATAATCAAATATAATAGTTGATACAAAGGAACATAAATTTTGTTTACCATTTTTCTGAGAGATTCAGTGTTCACTAATTCTCCATTATGAGCAACTGCTAATGCCCCATGCGCAGTGTGTACCACAAATGGTTGACAGTTAACTTCTTCACTGGCTGCACTTGTGCTGTATCTAGTATGACCAATCCCAAGATTTCCTCTAAGCTTCCTCATAATTTCATCATTGAAAATATTATTTATCATTCCCATGCCTTTATGTACATGAAATGATTTGGAGCAAACACCCTCACTTGTAACAATCCCTGCGCTTTCTTGGCCTCTATGCTGTAATGCCACTAAACCTATTGAATGAAAATAACAGAGAAATATTTTATCTTGCTTTAATTTAAATTACTAATTTTTTTCCTTCGTTTTTTCATTTAATCTTACTTTTGTATTATTATTTATATTTATATATTAATTTCTATGATTAATTTCGATCGATTTCTTTCATATAGAATGAATATACTTACCTAGGCAAACAACTTGGGCAACATCAATTTGTGATGGCCAATCCCCTGCAGCGATACATCCAAAAACACCACATTCATGAGTAAGACCAGTAAGCCTTTGTCCTCTGGTTTCACCTTTGCTTCGTGGCCTTATACATTTTAATTCCTCTGTAGAAAAACGAGATATTACTTGAGAATCTTCTATCTTATTATCTTTATTGCGAGACGTTTCCATTGTAATCTGTAATATATAAAGTAAATATTATTTTTTTTCTTTCATTTCTTTGTACAAATTATAATAATAATAAAATATGAGTTTCAAAGGTCATTTGAAAAAATCAAAATATATAATGCCTGTAAGTGAAATCTTATAATTAGTATACACATTAGTATGTATTAATTAAGACAGATAAGAATTAAATTGAGAAACCACAAGAAAAAATGATATAGCAATTGTTATCTTTTTCATTATAAAGATTTATAATTTAACTATCATTATTGATATTTCTCAAATTATAGTTGAAAAGCTATTAAAAAATATTATATTTGAATTTAGTATTTGAAATTATTTCCTTAGATTTAGATGTATTCTCAGTAAATTCTATATATTATATTCGAAATTTACAAATCATATAAATTGTATAAATTAGATATTGTGTATATCTCATTGAAATGTATCTAGGAAATTCTTTTCACAATTCCTCTCTGCATATAATCTGTATTGCCCTTATAAACTATTGACCCCCAGCAGACTGATAGAATCGACATATCTTATGTTTGTTCAATATTATAATATGTTTTCACATACATTGTCACATATGTTTTCTTTTCATGTTTGCTCAATCTGTATTTCGCAACTGATTTCATCATCTTACATCGTATTTACATCATGACTGTCAGAATATGCAAACAGTTATATGTATTCATAGCAAATTAATCTTTTACGTCACACAAAATAATATTTTTCCAGTTAATAAATAATATTTTACATTACACAAAATAATATTTCCAAGTTAATTTTCCATTGTGACAAATATAAATAAATTATACATGGACATAAAGTAAAATTAATGCTCTCTTTTCTTCTAGAATTACCTTATATTATCTACATAATATAAAGTTAAAATTTTGATTTGACGTCAAACAAAATGAACATAAATTACAAGAATAAATATTCGAGATATAAATTATTTATTATAAAGCAAAGAAGATAAATTAATGAAAGTCGATTTTTATAGCAAGCTGTAAATTGGTTTTTTACTGTATTAACGTGACTAACTAAACACCACATTACGAAATTTGAAATAATAATGATTCTATTAAAAAAAAGACCATGATATTAATTTATCTAAGGCTCGAGATTTAGGGCAATACAGAGATGGCATTTTGATGTTAGCTAGTGTGATCACACAGCACAAACGCGCAAGTATTATTTTACTTACAGAATATAATTTACTGTCCCTCTTTTTCAGTCCAATAACATAAGATTAAATATGTATAAACTGTGTATAAATTTATTCTACGAATAAATCACTTGTTAAGATATCGAGATCAAATAAAACGTTTCTACGCAGCTTCCGCGAGTGGTCTGACCACCTGTGGAACAAGAACATACTCGACGTAATTCGACGCGATATTCTAAACCGGAAGACTACGATAAACGTCGGAATTCGTAGTCTTTTAAATATTTCTTAACACGTTTCAAAAAAAGTGTTTAGCTTTTTTTCTCTTTTAGTTTCTTTTCTTATACGACATGATCGGGCACTACGGTAAATCTTGATCGTCGCTACACTTGATCCGTTCCGACGTAATTGTCGGATTTATAATTGTTCGTTTAATCAATTTTGAGTCGAAGAGTATGAGAAAGAATTTGGAACTGCAGAATTATGCAGAAAATGTTAGCGTGTAAAGATAAAAATATGCTGTACAATAAGCTTCAATCTTTTCTTTTTAAAAGCACTATATTTTTTTCAAATGAGAGAATTGAAATTGTGCATAACTTGCGCGTTATTCCAGTTTGATTTGCATTTGTCATAATTGTACAAAAAATACACGAAATATAAAGCGGAATCGAAAATTGTAAAAAACACGTGAGTTCGAAGAGTTGGAAGAGATCGGTGGTAAATGAAGTGATAAATACGTACCTCGTGTGCGACAACTTCTTCTTCTTTTAATTAGATTTCCATCCACTTACCGAACGCGGTATATTACGATTACGTTATACATATGTACAAACTTCGTGCTGAGAAGCGCGGTCGTATTCTTCGGAGAAACGTTTCTCTCTGGTTGTACAAATGATCGGCTAACACGTTGTGAAGTACAAATGGAGCGATTGATGCTCCGGGCCAATGAGAAACCGTCTTTGTTTGGAGAGGCACGGATATTCGAATATAGCCGGCACGATTATTATCTCTGCTTTCTTTCCGAAAAAGGGGGAATGCGGAAGGTGAAGAATATCACATATATCACATGCTCCCCCATGAAGAGGACGTGTACGTGTTATTTATCTTGAAAGAAGCGCTCTCTTTTCTCGCAATCGTATAAACAAGGATTGTATGCGCATATACTACATAAAACACAAATATACTAAATATATATAGGAAAAAAACTGAAATAGATTACTAAACGATATTTCGTCACTTAAATGTGTCACTATACCTATATAGTCTTTTGATAACAAGTAACTTATTGTTAGAACGAGGATATACAGCGTAATCTCAATGTGTTGATGGATTTCATATAAAGTTTCGAAAGTAGAGTTATTTCAGTAATCTCCTCCTTGCTCGCTCTGTTTAATGTTCAGATTACGATGTTACTTAAATTTTTCTTACGATATGTTTTTTCAACTTACCGATGTACTTATACAAAAGTAAATATGCGATTTAAATAAAAACAAATTAATCGATAATAGCGAAACCGCAAGGATCACATTTCCAGTGAAAATGAATCTTATTGATTATATATTGATAGATTTATAATTATACACAAAATAAAAACAGCATTTCTTCAATTTACTCTTACGTCATATTGTAACACGCAAGAGGATTTATTTTGATCTCGCACTATATGTGCGAGAAAATATATTCGTATATGATTTTTTGCTTCTGATGTGTGTAATACTACTGTAATAAGGGGCCAAGCATTGAACCAATCGCGAATCAGATTGACAAAGATCGTAGTGGGGGCTGCCAAAGAAATGTATGCGGGATCAGGCCATCAGGCTCGATTACATATCTATTCTGATCCATTCGAATATTAGACATTAAAGTGATAACATGGCTGGTGAGTTTGATAGCTTATAAGAACTTTAATTAAATTCTCTTTTTGTTCATATGAATATGTATTGGTATATTAATTGCACCTATGAATATCATATAAAACATTTGTACGGATAATTTATATAAATTAAAATAACGAAATAATTCTACAAGATAAACATACCTTTGCTAAAGCAACAGGTGGTTGCGTTAATGTATTTTGCAATGGCCTACCTCGGATTCGCCGGCCGGCATTTTGCAAGTGCTCTGTTCATTTTTGATATAGCATTTATTGCAGCAAACATTTTATCAGAACACCTAATATTTCATTCTAGTCGTATATTTTTCGGAACAGCGTGTTTTTATGTTTATTTTAATAGACCATTTGTACAAAAACATTCATATGTGTTTGTGATTGCAAAATGTTTGTAAACAAAAAAAAAAGAATTATTAATAATTTATTCATAAACAAAAAGAAAATTTTTCTTTTTTATTAACTTTAAGATATCAACACCACAACTTTCTTTTTGTTTCAGATTATAAACTTGGAAAATGTATCAACGAGGGAAAAACAAAGAAGATTTATGAACTTCTAAATGATTCTACATTATGTTTGTTGGAAAGCAAGGATCGCATTACTGCTGGTGATGGCGCCAAGTCCCACGATTTGGAGGGAAAAGCAACAATTAGCACATCTACTACCATAAAGGTTTTCAAACTGCTTAATGAAGCTGGTGTTAAGACAGCTTATGTTAAACCTGCAAGTCCGAAATGCTTCATAGCAAAAAGATGTTACATGATACCAATTGAATGGGTTACCAGAAGACAGGCAACTGGTAGCTTTTTAAAAAGACATCCAGGTATATTTGAATATACTGTCCTTTTGGAATTAATAAGTCTAAGAGTATGTCAGAATGCATGATACATTCATGTATAATTGTGTTTTACAGGAGTTCCAGAGGGTTATAGGTTTAATCCACCTCTGCAGGAAACATTCTTTAAAGATGATGCTAATCATGATCCACAGTGGTCCGATGAGCAAATTATTTCTGCAGGTTTTAAAATGGGTAGCATAAAAATAACAAAAGATGAAGTGGATATTATGAAACGCGTTACTCTTGTCGTTTTTGAGATTCTTGAGCGAGCCTGGACTGTGCGTAATAGTGCTTTGATAGATATGAAGATAGAATTTGGCATAGATTCAAATGGAGAGATTTTAGTTGCTGATATTATCGATAGTGATTCCTGGAGACTTTGGCCTTCTGGAGATAAGAAACTAATGAAAGACAAGCAGGTAAAGATCTTTAATGGATTTGATATGTTTCCATCAATATTACATCAATTATGATTATTTAAGATTATTATATCTGTTATCAGGTGTACAGGGATCTATCCAATGTAACACAACAGAATTTAGAAACAGTAAAGCGTAATTTTAAATGGGTAGAGGAGCAGCTGGATTATATTATTGAAGCACCTAGTCCATTAGTTGTTATATTTATGGGCTCTCCCTCTGATGAAGCGTATTGCCAAGAGATTGCAAAACATGCTAGAGCATTGGGTCTGAACCCACAACTCCGGATCTGCAGCGCTCATAAGGGTACTCTAGAAACTTTAAATGCTCTCGCTGAATATGAAGGCAGCGGAGAAAATGTATGTTTCATCTCATTTTAATTTTTTTATAATTTACCATAATAAAGATTCAGTAGACTAGGTTTGTTAAGAATCGTTCTTTTCATCTATGAATTCTTTGACAAATGTGAGATCTTTTCTTAACAAAAATGTGCATTTAAAAAGATTTAATCTTTGAGAGAGAAATATCAACGAAGATGTTTCTCGAATTTCAGTTTTAGTAAATAGATCACGTTATATGTCGATCACTTAATATCTTAAATTGTTTTTATTCCAAGAAGTAGAATTTTTTATTTCAATGATTACTCTTTCATATTTATTTAATATCGAACATTAAGTAATACAATTACGCAATGCTGATAATGATAGCAGTATGTCTCAATATTGCACTTTTTATCGTGATATTTCTCACAGTTGGTCAGAATAACTGGCTACATCAAGTATGATAGCAGATGGATAATTACATATCTTTAAATCCATATTGACCTGTTGAAATAGCCTGTGTTATTCTGTTATATCTTAATTTCAAACTCTTTATGATAAAAGAAATGAGCTATAAAAAGATTATTTCCGTTTATCACGAATTTTTTTCTTATTTTTTTATCTCTGTAGGTAGTGCTGATAGCTGTAGCCGGCCGCAGCAATGGCTTGGGTCCAGTTCTCTCCGGCAATACTATCTTGCCGGTCATAAATTGCCCGCCTCTGAAATCGGATAATATCGAACGAAGCGTGTGGTCTTCGCTTGATGTTCCATCAGGTAAATAATTATGTTCATAACATGTAATAGTATTTATATCTCCTGAAGAATCTAAAATTAAATATAACTTACAGGACTTGGTTGTACCACAGTCGTATATCCAGAAGCTGCTGCGCTCGCTGCGGCGCAGATCCATGCAATGCACAATCATTTGGTTTGGTCTCGTTTGCGAGCAAAACAACTCGCTAATTTCTTAAGCTTGAAACGAACCGATAGCAAATTACGAAAATCGTAATAAATTCAGTGCTTGAAACAACAAGCCTAATATACAGAGTAAGTTACACAAGTTTTTCAATGTAATGTTACAACAATTTAACAAGAATGACATTCATTTATACCATATTGTTAGGAAAATATCAACTTTGTTTCTTGCTCTTCCAAGAATCTTGTAAACACATGGCAATGCAATTGTGAGAAGAACTGATATACTCTTTTGATATCATATTTGAATTTTTATTAATTCATTTGGTATACTCTTGATTTATTTTATATAAAGTAATCATTCTCGATTTTTTTCCTTTATATTTTATGCAACCTATTATATGTGCCATACATCTATATAGATTTTTGTTGTGTTAAAAATATTAATACTAATGTTTCATATATGATTGTATCATAGACTGCTAGTTATAACTGTGAATTTTATTATATCAATGATTGTGTTTGCTCTTTTCGTATACATTTTATTATTATTGATTCTAATAATTCTTTATTGGGTTCAAGTATGTAATATTCATTTATTTCCACTTGAAAAAATTTTTGAGTAATATGAAACTTATGTAAACACATAATAGGTTACAAATATGTTTATATAAATATAAAAGAGATGCTATGTCTGAATTGAAAAACCGAAAGTGATTTCTATATACATAGATATATCTATATACATATGCATACATACATTTACATATAGAAATGTCCATATTTTGAAACATTTGAGCTATTCTAGCATTATATCTATCAGGTAAATAGATATTTTGCAATTAAATAAGAATGGAATTTAAAGAAATGTGGAAAGTTGGATTTTGTTGAATATATCCAAATATGTATGGAAAGGAGAAAATTATACGAGGTTGCAATTTTTCATGTACACAATTAATATGCGATATTCGCGTAAATACTTATATTTTTTTATATACATGTAAATAAAGAAACACCTTACTGCATGTATATTGGACGTTTGAATTGTCAACATTAATAACATCCTTGATTTCGACTTGCTAGAGTTTCAATCTCTGTTACTGCATGTATATTGGACGTTTGAATTGTCAACATTAATAACATCCTTGATTTTGACTTGCTAGAGTTTCAATCTCTGCTATCTCCTTTGGGCAACTTTTTGTCAAAACTTCTGAACCGTTTTCTGTCACTAAGATATCATCTTCTATACGAATACCTAATCCATGAAAGTGTGACGGTGCATGAAGATTTTTTGGGCTTATATATATACCTAATACAAAGAGAAATATGCATAAGCTATTTTACAAACTGTTCTTCAAAGTGTATGTCATAAATCATACCAGGTTCTATGGTTATTATCATTCCAGGTTGTATCCTTATGCTTCTAGATATTTTCCCTGTATCATGCACGTCCATTCCTAGATAATGACTGACATGATGCGGACAATATGTGTACGCGGCTGTTAATAACTTCTCTTCGTCTATGTTCTTCGGTATCAAATTAATTTCTTGTAATCTTTTGCCCAGAAGAAAGCACATATGACGAAATACATTGTCCAACGATGGCATATTTTTCAGGGTCTCTATTAAATTTTTTTGCACATCGAGCACTATTTCGTAAAGGACTCTTTGCTCTGGTGAAAATTTTCCGCTAATCGGCCATGTTCTCGTTATATCGGATGAATAACCATGATATTCACAGCCTGCAAGTAAATAAAGTTCAAAACATAAGTTTTTAATAAGTTTTTCTATGGTCATAATTCTATATATATTTGTACGAACCTGCATCCATTAAAACCAAATCACCATTTCGAATAATTTGGTTATTACTGATATAATGTATTATGTTTGCATTCCTG